CTCAGTGTCCATGGTCACACACAGCCCCCACAGCTCGGTGTCTGTGGACACAGACAGTCCAGACAGTCCCCATTTCCCAGTGTCCATGGCACTGCTCCTGCCTCCAGCCCTAATTCAGGTGCTGGAAGTGCAAGAGCGAGGCCACTCAGAGCAGAATTGATTGTTCCTGAGCCTCCCAGAGCTGCTCTCTAGAAAAACAACAGAAAATGTGAGAGTGAACTGCCCTTGCTGATTTTGCTGATTCCACTAAATTTTGGATCTAATAATGTCTCCATATTGCTTCAATTGTCTCTTCTGAGGCACAGTTGTGACTCTCCCCCCTGAGGGGTTGTGGCTGCACAAAGGGAAATAAAACTCAGCCAAGGTGTTGGACACAGCAGCCTTTCAATATCCAGCCTGTTCCATACGTTCATACATCCTGGATCTCCAGCTTCTGTCTCCCTGCTAGAAAGACTCAGAATTGGCTCCTCATTCTCAAAGCTCTGGTGTAACTTGGTTAAGGAGTCTTTTCTCCTGGGATTAAAGGTGACTTTCTGTTGAAGGATGCAAAATAGAATTCAGTGGAAATGGGTTCATTTCCTGCCTCCTGGATATTCTGACACCATCTTCCACATCCACCCCATTTAAATTTGGACACCTAAATGAGGTGATGAGCCTTGGTGGGGAGCCAAGAGGGGTTGCTAACTGGTGGTCACTGAGACCCTCATAAAATCCCAGCTTTGGGAAGGTCCCTGTGAGCCTGTGATCCCTGTGGTCCCTGTCCCACTGATAGTAGAGACATCCTCTTACCTGTGGTACCTCAGACACTCCCACTGGTTTTGCATCCAGACCTCAAGGCTGAACAAGGCATTTGGGCCCCTTTATTTAGAGGATCTTTTAGTGCCACATCCAATTCTATTATCTGTGGGATGAACAGAAGTGTGCTGGCAATGAGGAGCCCTGGAAGACCTTGGGTGGGTGGGTGAGTGGCCAACCAACCTGCTCTTCATCCAGACCCTTCTCCAGGTCCAACAGTGCTGACTGGAGCAGGTCAGCGATGCTGAGGGTTTATTTTCCTCCTGCAGTTCACACACAGAGCCCAGCTGTGAGTCAGGCCCCCCTTTGGGTAAGTCAGGCCCCCCTTTGGGTAAGTGGAGGTGGGAAAACATGTCTGGACACCTGTTTCAGAGAGAGCTGAGTCCTTGAGAGCTTGAGGGTTAAACTGTTTGTCTCACACTCTGCTGGCACAACCTCTGCACTTTTGTTATCATATTGCTAGGTACAAGGGGGTTAGCATCCAGTTCTTTGCTTGAAGGAGCTCTCTGCCTCCTGGACCTGCTTTGCATTTGTACCCAGGGCATCAGTAAAACATTTGCTGCCCCTCGTACAAGGGCACAGTAATTTGTTTCCTGGACATCCCCTTGTCATTCAGTCTGACAGTTCTCCTCCCTGAGGAGCTGCTGGCTTCCCCATCTCCTCTGAGGCAGTGGAGCTGCCAAAGTCCATCTCAGTCCATCTGGACTGAAAAGTTCTCTCTGGCATTGTCCCCCATCTGGGTGAGAGGAATGTCGAGATGAAACACAAGAGCTCCCTCGGTCTGGCAGTTCTCCAAGGGAGGGGGGAGCCTGTCCTGTGTCCCTGCCCTCCACACGTGCTGGGTGCCCTGCAGGTCCCACTGCATGGCAGGAGGACAGACAGGTCACTGTCAGTGCAGGGCAGCACAGTGAGCTGGGAGCAAAGGACATGGGAGGGGATAGGGAATGGCATGTGAGAGCTGAGGGAAAAAGCACATCCATCCTGTGTTAGGGAGAGAAGGTTTGAACTCTGGCGTGAGACCAGCATAAAGCACAGGGCAGGGGGCAGAGGGAGGTGATGCTTCCTGCTGAGATTTTAAGTAAATAGCCTGGGACAGGCCTCCTGAGTGAGGGAAAGTCTGAACCTGAGCTGGCTGGGTCAGGTCTGGCTCTCATGTCTGTGCCCCTGTGCTGCCTCTGCCCTGCATCAGAGCAGCCTGTGCTCAAACTCCAGCCCAGTTGCTTGCCCAGAGCAGCATGTGACAGGCCATGTCTGAGGGTTAGCAAGAATTAATCACAGTGGACAAAAGAGCTCTGTCGTTGCAAAGCAACCCTATTCCTGGAGAAGGAGTCGTCTCTGGTTGTGGATATCTGCAGTAGCTCTTGAGCAGGGGCTCTCTGGGTCATAGCTGACTGCAAGGACTGATGCAAACACAGTGCAGGGACAGCTGGTGTGACTTGGGAGCCTCTTTTGTCTGATAATGGCACTACTGAGCTGTCCCAGCCCGTTCTCACCAATAACAAATCAAATCTTTGCCAGTGCCCAGGATGGACAGGATGTGCTCCTTTACCCTTCTGAACTGTGCCTTAAGCATGAAATGGCTTGTAGTCCTCAAGCCTTGCCCCAACCCCAAATCCAAAGGTTTCTGAGCCTCTCTGCATCCTCCTCAATGCTCTCAGGGCGGTGCTCAGTCCCATTTGGACCAGCAGCTCCATAACCTCACTCCCAGAGCATCCAGACAGAGCATCTCTCCATACAAAAACAACTGCAACTTTTTGTTCTCTGGCCACGATTTCTGACTTCTGCTGCTTTTCGTTCGGGTTTATTTTATTCTCATCATAAATAAAGAAAACAAACTAGTGCAAAAAATGGTCTGAAATGACTGAAGCTGCATGGCAGGAGATGTGGCACTGGAACAAGGAAAACATTCTCATGGGGTTTTTTTATGTCGGGGTCAGACTTTGCCTCACTCAGCAGGCCTGCCCACAGTATTTACTTAAAATCTCAGCAAAGTGCATTAACACAACGTTAAAGCAGAGATAGGAGCCCAGGGAGAGCAAATGGGCCCGGGGGTGCTCTGGGCTGGGGCAGGGAGTGCTCATTGCAGGCTGTGCTCTGCCCTGGTTTGGGCAGCCCTGGAGATGAAGGATGTGTGGACCATTCCTGCTCCCTCTGGCACTTCATTTGGTGTTGGCATTTGTCCTGTGCAAGGGCTGGAGAACAAGCCCCACTGCACAGCCAGCAGTGGTGGCTCAGTGTGGGGGCCATGGTCTCCCTGTCCCTCCCCGGTGTTGTGCTGTCAGGACAAACCTGACAAACCTGAGCCTCGATCCTCAGGGAGGGGCATCACCGTGGGTGTGTTCTGACTGTCCCAGGGGCTCTGCTCTGCCCCAGCCGTGTTCCTCAGGGAGAGCCTGGTTGGACCTGAGGCTGTTCCTGCAGCCAGAAATGCAGGGCTCAGAGGAGCAGCCCGGGGTGGGGGGGTCACCTTGATGCACTTCAAGGCACTGGGAAATCTCTGCCTCCCTTAAAGGACCTTTGCTTGTCCCAGGCAGGCTGAGCTCAGCTGGGGCTGCTCCTCCAGCCCCAGTGCTGGGCAGGGAACTCCCTTCCCTCTGAGGGCTCAGGCAGATGTTCCTCCACATCCCCAGAGCACAGATCGCGCTGGCAGAGCTCCTGGAGAGGAGCTGTCTGTGCATCCCTGGGTCACTCTGTCTGTGCATCCCTGTGTCACCCTGTCTGTGCATCCCTGGGTTACCCTGTCTGTGCATCCCTGTCTGTGCATCTCTGTGTCACCCTGTCTGTGCATCCCTGGGTCACCCTGTCTGTGCATCCCTGGGTCACCCTGTCTGTGCATCCCTGGGTCAACCCTTCCACGCCAGCTCCCCTCTCCCCTCTCACATCCTCCCAGCATCACTTCTCCCAGCATCTCCCTTGTTCACTTCGGGTCCTTCCTGCAGAGCATTTGTCCACAGGCTGGGAGGAGATTCAGAGCTGGAGAAAGGATTTAAATGACTGATGTTTTTACCCCAACAAATCTACTCCAGCCTGCGGGGGCTCAATGCTCCCTCTGGCATTTTTTCACCAGGAAAAACATTTACTTTGGGAGAGGAAAGAGGAAAACAGAAAATAAGCCCATGTTCACAAGTCAAAAAAATAAAGAATTGATGCAGAAATCCTCTGGTGCCTTTTAGGATGATTTCATATCTAAAGGAATGAATCCATAATACAATAGTGCTGATTCTGACATTCGAGTATTTACAGTGGGATCTTTTGCAGGTGGAACTTTGGAGAAAAAAAAAAGAAAAAAAGAACAGCTCAGAGGGCAAAGGTTTTGTTTAAAAATGTACAACAAACTGTAGCTTAGCACCAAAGAGTGAGAAAAGCAGTTTATTGGCTTCTCACAAGTACTTGAGTATCAAGACATCCCGATGAGGAATGGATGCATTTCAGGAAAAATTCTGAGCAAGAAACTGTCTTTGTTAAACAAACCTTCCCTTTTGCCTGGTTGGTAAATGGTAGAAAGGGACACAAAAGCCGAGCGTGGGAAGGAGAGAGAGGCTCCAAAGGGGCAAAGCCCAGATTTTGTGCTGTTGGAAGTTCAAGGCGGAGGTGTGGGAAGAGGCATCTGTGGCTGCAGGGACAGACCATGGGCTCTGCACGGACTCCAGTGCCAGTTCTGAAACACAGGAATGGGGGACAAGGACAAGGGGGAATGGCTGATGGAGGGCAGGTTTATATTGGATATTAAGGCAAACTTCTTTACTCAGAGGGTGGGGAGGCCTTGGCAGAGGTTGCCCAGAGAAGCTGTGGCTGCTCCATCTCTGGAAGTGTCCAAGACCAGGTTGGACGGGGCTTGGAGCAACCTGGGCTAGTGGAAGGTGTCCCTGCCCATGGCAGGGGGTGGCACTGGATGAGCTTTAAGGTCCTTCCAACCCAAACCATTCCCTGATTCTGTGGAAAAGACTCCTACAGTGTCAGCAGGACCTGGAGTGCCCCGTGCTGTGCTGGGAAGATCCTGGAGCTGGAGAACAGGGGGGAGGTTTCCTCCTGCTCCACAGGCAGAGCTGTGTCGGGGTGTCCCCTCTCGTTGCTCAGCACAGGAGTTGCTCTCCCAGCCCGGTGGAGGGAGTGGGGGCCGGGGCCATGCCCGGAGCACTGGCACTGGGGCAGATTTGGGCACAGCCTCAGTGGTAACTCTGCTTTTCCCCGTTCTCTCGTTCCAGGGCCGCTGCATCAACTTCACCAGAGTGAAGAACACCGAGGCCCCCCCCCCCCCCCCCCCCAACCGGCCCCCCCCCCCCCCCCGCCCCCCCCCTCGCCCCACAGTCTAGGGGGGGGTCGGCCTTGCTCCCGTCTCTTCCACGAGTGTCCCAGAGGCTCTTCCAGCAGTACTGTATCACATCCCTCCTGGGGGGAAGGGGGCAGAGGAACCGGAGCCTTCCTGGAACGGGTGACAGCAGAACCAGTGACTCCGTAGTCATCTTTCTCCTTTAGTTTTCTCCTATTTTTTGACTCCCTTGTGCATTGGTGCCACCAAACTATCGCAGCAAGAAAAGCCAAGAGGCTGCAGGAGCAGGACAAACAACTCCTGAGTTCCATTCCAGCAAGGCTCTCCCCACTCCTGGTTCCCCTGTGCCCCATCATGGTGATTCCAGGACACACTGGAAAAAAGGAATGGATAACTAGAGTGAGCTCTTAACAAAGGAAATTCTCCCCAGGGAAGGACTGCAAAAGACTCTTCCAAGTGCAGACATCCCAGCCAGCAACCTGGAGACAGCTGCACAAACGTCCTGGGACAAGGTTGGATGTGTGGCAGGACACTGATCCCCTCCTCCTCCTGTGCCAGCTGCCAAGGGAATGGTGACAACAGCAGCTCTGCCAGCACAGGAACCCTCTAAATGTGGGGAGAATCACTCACAGGCAGCTGTTCCCACGGACCAGGAGCTGGAGATGGGAAGGTGTTGGCATCTCAGAGGGTCTGGAAAGGAGAAGGAGTAGGTCTCTGGGGTGTGGATCCGAGGATGTTGGTATGTGGAAGTGCAGGTGGATGAAAATGGAGTGTAACAAGGAAAATTAATTACATGGGAAGATAAAGCAGTCAGGGCGTCACGAGACTGTGACCCCATCCCTGAGGACACCAACAACTGGGGACAGGGCAGCCTGCAGTGCTGCCAGTGAGACAGAGGAGGTGGCAAACATTGACGAATCTGGGAAAGGTAAGGTTGGCAGGAGAGCCTTTGTGTTCAGTTTAGACAATTATGTGCATCCAGTCAATCACTCCACAGTTCTGAAGTGTAATTTAATGTTTCCACTTTAAAGGAGAACATTCTGAATACAAACCAAAGGTTTGGTGTATCAAGGTCTCCAAATCCAGTCTGCTTGGGCTCCTTGTTCCTGACAGTTTGAAATGGTCACCACTGATGCCTTCCTGTTTCTGTAAACCTTGTTCTTTTGCCCTAGAAATGTTTTCACGTGGATTTTTGTGTTTTCCTTTCCTTTCCTAAATAAGTAGCAGATGCCTCCCAAACTGGGAGTGAAGAAGAGCCAGTGTGCTTACTCACTCCTGTCAGCTCTCCACAGCATCACTCCCATTAGCAGTTGTTGACTAAGGCAAAACTCAGCCCACGGGACTCTCCAGATGGGAATCAGTCTGCCAAGGAATGCACTGGCTGCATTTCTCCTGCTTTCTCCTCACCTCCACGGGACCCCCACCACATCCCTCTGCATCACTCATGCACACCTGTATCCTACAGCAAACCTGAGCACCTGCCTTTGCATCCCAGAGCCAGAGACGGGTGGGACCACTCAGCATTCCAGCCAAACCTCTGGCTCCCTGGGTTCCTGTCGGGATCAGTTCTCACAAAGCTCTGTCTCAAAGTCATATGAGATGAACCATCTTTGTAGCTGCAGTTCTGTGGATAGTGAAGGGTTGTCACCTCGTTTTTTACCAGATAAAGAAATGCTTTGCCAAGTACTTCCTTCAGTGCTGTTGGATATATTAATTCTAGCTTTTTCTAGCAAAACAAGAGAGAAAAAGGAAAAAGAAAAAAAATTACTCAAGGAGGAAAGGGAAGAGAGGAAAGAGACTCAGTGGAGAATTGCCCTGGGCCCCTTTGGGTGGGGACAGGAGGGAGCCCTCAGCACAAGGCTCTGGGTCACTGTCACACACCAGCTTCACCCTCCCCAGGGTCAGGGTCAGGTCTTAGGTGAGATGAACACCCGTCACGATGGACCCCAGGATCCAGCCCCCAGCCAGGGCTGGCTGTCCTTCCCAAAGGCTCCTCAGCTCCCCCCACACTGCTCTGGCTGCAGGCAGCACGGAGCAGTGCCCAGCTGGGAGCAAAACCACCAGTTCTGCTGCTCACCCCTTCAGGTTTATCAGGTCCAGGCCGTGGTTGGTTCCACAGGACGACTTTGTGGTTGGCAGGTGGGAGGGAGAAGCTTTAACACCCTGACACAAGTTTGGTTGGATTCCCTCGTGGGATGGACGGGATCTGGTTAGAAAAAGAGCTGTTTGGTTTGGTTTCATGATGGAAGGTGTAAAAACTGGGAATGGTGTAATACAGGATCAATAGATATGGCCCTAACAGATCCTCAGTATTCCAAAAAGGGTGGAAAGGAAAGGAAGTTGATTTTCAATATGGCATTGGGAATTTTATTTTTTAAGTGTCAATTAACCAATAAATAAACTGGTTAATTAACCAGTAAACCTACTGCTGGGGGAAAAATAAAAGCAGTGTATTCTCCATGACTTCTTGCAGATGTATATAGAATATTCATTCTCTCCAAAGTAAGGGAAAAAAACCCTACAGATTTAAAGAAGCAAAACAAAGCGTAGATCAAGCCTAGGCTAGAAAAACCCTGATTTTCAAATCCCCCCTATGCAATCATCCAGTTCGTGAATGAAAAACAAGCTCCAAATTTTTTGTTGTACATATTGTTGCTGCATGCTTACCATATGTTAGATGGAAGCATTTCCTATCCCTTGTGGATAAAAGAACATTTTTCAAGTTGTAGTAAATTATTCTAAAGCCAATGACATTTCATGGCATGTTATCGTATCAAGCTGTGCTTGTTGTATTTTTTCTTTACGATTGTATTGCTTTGTTTTATAAATGTACAAATATTTCCTGTAGTGACGAACACCTGTTTTGCATGGCATTAATTGAGGCACTGCAGCTCCAGGCCACACACCCCCTTGCTCCATTGGCAAAGGGGTCGATCTGGGGTGGGATCCGGCCGGAGCACAGTGGGGGACAAAGCCAAGCGCTCCCAGTCTGCAGTAGGTTGGCTTTGGAGACACTTCCTAATGTTCTCAGAAAAACTGAGAGCATTTTTGGTGGTGAATTTTGTACCTGATTTGTATTTAGGAAAGAATTCCTCCCTGTGAGGGTGGTGAGGGGCTGGGATGGACTTCCCAGAGAAGCTGTGGCTGCCCCATCCCTGGAAGGGTCCAAGGACAGGTTGGAGCAACCTGGGCTAGTGGAAGGTGTCCCTGCCCATGGCAGGGGGTGGCACTGGATGGGCTTTACAGTCCCTTCCAACCCAAACCATTCTGTGATGCTGTGATTTAGGATCAACCTACATCTGGCTGCAGAAATGGCTCCCAAAAGTACCACATGTGCCTTTAAAATCTGTGCTCCCTTTGCGCCAGATCCTAAAGATTGACTTAGGAACTTAATGTAAGGCCATCAAGGGTGAAAACTTGGTCCTGAAATAAACTCAGCTCGCACTGCCAATTAATGCTGTGTAAATGAGGGTGGATGCTGGAGCACCGTGCCCTGCCGTGTGGTGCCCTACGTACTCCGTGTCTATAAACCTGTCCTGGAACACGTTGTGTTGCCGTCAGTCCACACCAGCCAACTCCCAAGGAAACATTCATTCCAGAGCAAAAGGGCCTGAGTGATGTTGCAGCTGCTCTGCCATCTCAGAGACCCCAGCAGGTCTCACTGGTTACCAGTTGCTCCAGTCTGGGCTGGCCTGAGCAGCAGTAAAAGGTGTCTGATGGCACCAAACCAATAACCACTCGTTTGGTTTGCTCTGAACAGGTCACTTCAATTCCTCACGGTGTTTCTCATTCATTCAAAACCCTCTGTCAATGCCTCGCAGCCTCAAAGGACTGAGCAGCTGTGTTTGACAAAGAGGCAGATTATGTTTTATTTTAATTGCCAGAATGTCACAGATTGTTGCTGGCTGCACTTTGAAGTGCTCACCCACATGAACTTTGCAGTCGCCCAAATTCCCTCCCTACTCCTTGGTGTGTGCAGGCATCTTCTGCACTGTGTATTTTGGGGAAGGGGGATGTCTGGCTTCTGAGGGCTCTGGCAAGACTTGGGGTAACCAGTCAGGGATGTTGACCTGTGTGTGGTGCTGATGCAGGGAAGAAGCAGAATCAGCCCTGTTGTGCTGTTGAATTCCATGTTGTCAGCTCAGCCAGTGATGTTTTACTCCCTCTGTTTGTTGCATGTGTCGTGTTAAATTCAGTCATTACTCTTGCTGCCCTTGATGTTACTATTAAAGAACTACACCAGTCTGGGCTGGGCTCTGTGCAATTCCTTGCCGAGGGAAAGCAAACGAAGCAGGAGAATCCTGGGCAACAGGTTTTCTCAAAAACTGGCTTTTTGTTATCCTGGGGAGCTCAAGTTCGGTGATTTTCTTCCCAGAGCATTTCTGCCTGACATAAAGCCTGTTTTCACTGGGATGTGACACAGCCCAAACTGTCACCTCCTCCCCTGGTCCCCAGAGCCTTCCAAACTCCCATTTCACACAAGCCCTTCCCAGAGGCACTTTGAACAGAGCACAGCCATCAGAAATAACCAGTCAACTATTACTAACTCATCTGGGTTTTGCTATGGTTGGAATAGTTTATTCCATAAAGGAGATTAATGGAGCATGAAGAAGTTCAGCCTCAGCACCTGCCCTCTTTCAGCCAAGCACACACACCCAGGCTTTTACCTTCCTCTGGAAAGGTGAGCTGGCACTTCCCTCAGCACGTCCAACCTGGCAAATCTGGGCTCAGTCTGCATTTTTCTTACTGTGTTTTATTTAAGCCAAACTTGTAAATGCAGAGAGGGAAGTCACAGTGCTCAGCAGGTCCTGCTCTCACCCGGACAAAAGGTGCTTTTTAAACCAAGACTCAAACAAAATCAGTTGCTTTGCTTAGAAGGGACAGGTGAAAAAAAACCACAGGGGAAGTTAAGCCTGAGCTCAGGAGAGACAATGCAAACAAACCCACCTCGATGGCAGCACTGGGTCTGTCAGGGCGTGGAATTCCACAGAATTGGCCAAATGGAATCCCATCACTACATGGAGGAAAAACAAACAGGAAAGCAGTGGGACCAGGGAGGCTGGTTTGTCTTCCCATCAGCTGCCTCAGGAAAGCCTGGGCCTGTCCCAGGGACCCCTCTGTGCTGATCCAGCCCAGGCTGCAACACCGAGCAAAGAATGGGGCAAAGTTTCCCAGACAGGACATTATTTGGGAGTGAAGGTGTCCCAGAGCAAAGGGGGACACGGCTGAGCTGGAGCCCTGAACACGAGGCCTCACCTGGCTTGGGTGATCTACACCAGTCTGGGCTCACTCTCACCAGTCTGGGCTCACTCTCACCAGTCTGGGCTCACTCTCACCAGTTTGGGCTCACTCTCACCTGCCCCACAAGGATTCCCAGCTGGAGCAGGGCCAGGCTCCCCGTCTGGGCTCCTTGGGCTCTGGGGGGCTCTGTGTCTGTGTGAGGGGTTTGGGGGCTCTGTGTCTATGTGAGGATTTTGGGGGCTCTGTGTCTGTGTGAGGGGTTTAGGGGCTCTCTGTCTGTGTGAGGGGGTTTGGGGGCTCTGTGTCTGTGTGAGGGGTTT